TGAACGGGCCACCTCGTGTCTTGGGGAAAGAACCTCTTTGCGGGAGCAAAGATCTCTTTAAAAACCAGGATGGGTCCTCCTCCGCTGCCCTCATACTGCATCTGTCGCTCCATGTGCCCGCTGGGAACAAGCAAACCACAATCTGGTTACAGCAGATGTTAGGAGAAGGGGTTTGAAAGGTGCTTGAAAGGTGCCTTCTGCCTCGGGGGGATTTTTTAGCATCAGCCCATATCTCGCCATGGGGGTAGCTGAGACATTAGTGGCATTTGCAATACTATTATGGCCAAAGCAATAGTCCTAATGAGCCTTGGAAGGCCGTGTATATACTAATAATGCGCCATTTCCCTGTTGTTACAGGGCAAAATGGCTCAGGACATGACAGAGAAGGAGCTGCTGAAGATGGAGCTGGATCAGCTGAAGAAGGAGGTGAAGAATGAGAGGCAAATGGTGAGTTTTTTCACCCAAAGCACAGAGGGGCCGGTCCCCGGGGTAACTTCCTGACCTGATCGTGCTGCAAAGGACAAAAACCCCACAACCCCTGAAATTAAACCTCAAATACAGGCACAAGCATGTGCATTCATACCTCTCCCCTTGATGCAAACTTGCAGCTCGGGCTCAGCCCCACATCCCAGAGCCCGGAACTGCAGCCCCACACGCAGCAAGGTGCCCATAGCTCCCCCGGGGATGCTCTCGAGGACACCCCACGCTGGGTGGGATTTTCATGGCCACGGTTCCCCCTCTCCCGGCCGCACGAAAGGGTTCGTAGGCGGCCGACGAGCGCTTTGCAGCCAGGGTTTGTTCCCGTAACCCACGCAGAGCATCTCCTTCCTTGGCAGGTCTCCAAGACCGGCAAAGAGATCAAGGAGTACATCGAGTCCATGGCGGGCGAGGACCCGCTGCTGAAAGGTGTCCCTGAGGACAAGAACCCCTTCAAGGAGAAGGGCGGCTGTACGATAAGCTGACATCCCTCTACTGCTGTCACCGCCGGGCACAGGGATGTTCCCGTGTGCAAGCCAAGACTGTCAGAAACCTGCTTTCCCTGTAGTCTGACCTCAGTGCTGGGGAGTCCAGAACCAAAGCGTAGCACATCTAAAGGACAGCAAAAGAAAAAAAAAAAAAAAGACAAAAAAAAAAAAGAAGGGAAAAAAGGAAGAAGAAAAAAAGAAGGGAAAAAAAGAAGAAGGGAACAAAGGAAGAAGAAAAAAAAGAATAAAACAAAAAGAAAAAAGAAGAAAAAAAAAAAAGAAGAAGAAAAAAAAAATCACCCCACTGCCACCGAGAGGGTGTCCAGCAGCCAGTGCAGCGTTTGTGCTCTCACGGCTGATTTACATTTGGTTTCCTGCAAGCAAAACTTCTGCATTTTTAGCAGTCAGCAGCAAACTGGGCTTTAACAAAACAGCAGAGCCGCGTCTAGTCTCAGACGTCTCCAAGCAGCCCCGGAGCCGAGCCCCCGCTTGCTGCAGAAGAGCCTCCCGGCAGAACCTCAAGCCGTTTCCTCTTGGTGCCTCAGTTTCCCCACCCGGCACAGGAGGGCAAATACCCACCCTGCTGCTTTGAGGCTTTCAGGGCTCTGAAGCTTTATTCTCTTTATTCCAACGCATTCCCACCGCAGCTGGTGACCACCGCTGCCCACCGCTCCTACGGCACCCACCAAGCGCTTTGCATCGAGAGCCAGGGGATGACCAGAGCGGGGCTGGGTGGGCTTCACCCGACGTGGGGCAGGGCAGGGGAAGGAGCGAGGCTTGTTCAAACCCTCACCCCGCCTCTGGGTCTCGCTTCCTCCGCTGGAAACCCCCAGGGAAAGCAAGCCCAGGGCTGTCAGGTCTTGCCCGTGACCGCGGTGGCTCTCCGAGCGCTGCCGCTGCTTCACCCTCAGCTGCCGTGACCGGGCCCCGCAGGGGCTGC